GGGATTCAAAATTGTACAAATGGTGGGGCTGATCCCCCAGAGGGCTGAGGACGGGGCCAAAAGTGGGCAATTTGGCTAGATTGCTATAAATGACTTCTTCTGTAGAACTATGCACTGGATATCTATCATATTTGGTCGGAAGCATTCATGGGAGGCAGGGATTCAAAATTGTACAAATGGTGGGGCTGACCCCCCGGGCTAAGGGGTGGGGCCAAAAAAAGTTTATTGCCTGGAAATGGTTGAGATCCCCACCATATAACCACATATACAATTGCTGAGTATAAAGAGAAGAATGCACATTTGCTTCCAGGATGGCCCTAGGGTCTGGCCCCACCCTTGGAAACATAGTCCTTGGGCCATAACTTTAAAACGGTTGAGATCCCCACCCAAAAACTATATATACAAATGCTGGGCATAAAGAGACGAATGCAGTCACAATATTAGAATAGACCCTGGGCTCTGACCGAAACCCTAGGGACCTAGTTTCTTAGTCACAGCTTTGAAACAGTTGAGATCCCCACCCTATAACCATATAGACAATTGCCGATTACAAAGAGATGAATGCACATATGCTTCCAGGATGGCCTTGGGGACTGCCCCACCCTTGGAGACTTAACCCCTGGGTCATAACTTTGAAATGGTTAAGATCCCCACCCCAAAACTATATATACAATTGTTGGGCATAAAGAGACAAATGCAGTCATGATATTAGAATTGACCCCAGGGTTTGCCCCACCCTTGCAGACTTAACCCCTGGGTCATAACTTTGAAACGGTTGAAATCCCCACCCCAAAACTATATATACAAATGCTGGGCAAAAAGAGACAAATGCAGTCATGATATTAGAATTGATCCTAGGGTCTGGCCACAACCGTAGGGACCTAGTTTCTGAGTCACAGCTTGGAAACAGTTGAGATCCCCACCCCATAACCATACATAAAATTGCTGGGCATGAAAAATTGAATACAGATATATATGCTACAAGGATTGGCCTTGGGGTCTGGCATATTCCCTTGGATCTCATTTGGAGAATATTCTGCCATAATTGCTTAGATATCCAGGTGAGCGATACAGGCCCTATGGGACTCTTGTATATATGAGTAAGGTTATTGCCTGAAACGTTGTATGTGAGGTCATGCACAGCTGTTGCATCATATTTTGCGCTTAGTACCATATCACATATCCATGATATCTTGCATACGTGCTTACAGTAGTTGGGTGTGGCAGGTAATGTGACAGGGTTTTGAACATGTTATCCTACAAATTGTCACCAGGATTGAGTAACCTGATTATGGTGAAATGTAACTGCTAGTTAAGACAATTCAAAGAAATTTTGAATTGATGGCAGTTGGATAAAGAAATGGTCTACACTAATTTATTGTTAATTTATTTAAATGATTAGTGTAATTGATTGATTTAAAATACGTGTATGTAATTACATTCTTTATTTCATGGAAAGTGATTGAACATAATTGAACTTTTGACTGACTTATTGATTTTATTTCATCAGGTCAATGACACGTTTGAATTATCATTTCAAGCTGGGGATATTAAGCTTGACATTTTCTTTTTCTACGAGGAATCGGATCACATGTGGAATGGTGGGACAGATGTGAAAAATGGAGAAAAGCTCAAGTGAGTATAAATATTCAGCAAAACGCAAATTACACCATTGTCCAAACTGCCTTCGGTACCACGTGAATGCGATAAAACCTGCAGTGTCAGCTTTAATGACGTGTCGTCTGCTGGATTTAACACATGACTTTTTTTTCTGTTGACAGGTATGTATTTCCGAAGTTTAATCTGTGCTGGACGACTCTGCTAGATCTTCATGTACGTGTGCCGTGTCCGACATTACCATATATAGAGGCAAATTATGGTAAGGGATGGTTCAATCCTGTGAAGGAATGGAGCTGGAAAAACAGTCCTACCAACGTACAGAAGAATGGCTACTGGCCCAAGGACCAGTGGGACAGTGTTATACAGGTTTATGAGTGATCATATGTGTGTTAAGTATGAGATCATTGCTGCCAAACAGTGTCTGAGTGAGTGTGATTAGACAGTCTGATTAAATTGACTGTCCTATATACTTTGTACATGTTCAGTAAAACTTTACCTTAATGGTATCGCCGTGGTACGATTTGTTCGGATATGACCATTCATCGATATTGAAGAAACAAGGACATAGAACAACTCTTTGGGGCCGAAATATCTTGTCACATATCTCGAGTGACTTCAAATAAGATGTCTGCAGGTACACGTAACATCAGGGTTTTCATTTTGCAAGAAATATCTCATTAGATTAATGGATTGCAATACTGCTGGATTACCTTCCTTTGGTGTATTCTGGATTTTCTTTGTCAAATAAGTCTGAACTGAACAATATGATAAAAGTAAGAGTATGAAATATTCTACATGTTTGTGAAAACACATTCAACTACTATTTATAAAAGCAATATTGGGTTAAAATGTAAAAGATAATAATGATATTCTGTATAACCTGTTATTTATGATTTATAATTTATATTCACGGACGTAAACTTTGTTGTCGTTTGTTAAACGTGAACATTTAATATGTTTTTTCTTTTGTCAGTGTTACATTTAATAAAAATTTGAACTTAGATATATGTATATTTAACTTGATATGATGACTGCATAAACAGGACCCTGTATAAACCCCGAAACCTTTCGGACGAAGTATCAATGACTGGTTCATATAAGTTACTCTTTACAATGTATAATAATAATACCGAGATGCTAACATGCCATGCAGAGCCGTAATAAACAAAACACAATTGGAACTAACAAGGATATTTGTATCATAAACTCAAAATTATAGTCAATGTATATCTTGAAAATTCTTGACATTTTAATGACGTCGTCAATGTCAGATATTGTATTTTCAAGGGTTTATGACATGGATTAATTTATTCGACCTTATTAAATTCAGGTACTCTTCCCAATCTGAAACATTGAAGTCTTTTGGGTCAGTTGTGTGTCCAGATTGTCAGTCTTGTGGTATATCTTAAACCCGAACGCCTTCGACTGTCGCAGATAGTCTTATTATACATCTCCTATGTTACTATATATCCAAACAGGGATCATGTTCGATAAGGGGTTTTATCTGAAATTCGTTCCTCCCTCTTGAGAGAGAATATTTGCATGAGTCTTTGAACAATTTCATGGGTGATTTTTGAAATAAGTGGATGAGATAGTGAGTGACATTGTAAGCATTTTATAGCTGTAAATAACTCCAAAGGAAGACATGTAGGTACATACCGTATATCTCCTAAAAAGGCACACCACTCACCCGTACCCTTGTATTATAATTGTTGGATGGTTCAGTTTTGTTTATTTTGGATAAGAAAATTATGGCCTCGTTTTATCTCAAAACACGAATTTATATCCACATAAATATTATCCGTTAAAAGCACAACTAAAACTAACAATCAAAATTTAGCATAATTCTGTTTTTCTCCTTGGCAATTTACCATCATTAGAATAAGCCATCAAGACTCTCTTGGCTGGTTTTGTATACAGTTGTATAACTAAGAAAATATGGAATTTGAAGTTCTCTGAAAAGGTCCCAAATGTGTATTCCTTTCACTTACTTATACATGTACCTGGCATGCTTATTAGGACATATACGGTTTTATATAGTATATTATCTTTACACAATACATTTACATATCAAGCTTCTCTAGTAGGAGAAATACTTATCGAAGCTTACATCATTTACATTATGTAGAAGAATTACTTGATAGATGTGTGTACATTATTTACATCTTGCCTTTTTTGTTTTGTTCCCCCCCCTTGTTTTTTAACGTACTTTTAAAGCAATAATAAGGGTTGTTTAAATGGGGAAGCAATTTTCTGTTGTTTGTTTTACTAGATAACCAATGTTATGTGATGATGAGAACAAAAGTTAGATAAGCATGGTCAACGTCACAAGGACATTCACCACTGACAAAGGCATTATTTTTCACACAGATGTTGTCATCATCTGATTTCTCATTAAGGAAATATTATGAGAACTTGTCCATATTTAGGTTCTGTTCTAAAAGTGTATTCATGTGTATTACATATACCATCAGAAATAGATAGTAATACTATTTGTTTTTCTTTGAAAACCGTTGTACAAGTCTCTTGTTTGATGTTTGAGAGAAAATATTAAGTATTCCACAATATGAGCCAAATATAAATGGTATTCAACGGAAGAGTATTATATATCTATGTCTTGACACTAATCTAATTCCGTGGTCTATACATGTGTATGTGAGATTTTTGAGGCTTAGAAATATATTTCTGGTTAAATAAAGATCTCTTCGTCCTGTGCTGGTGCCGGGACAAATACATTTCGCACAGCAGTGAAAATAATCCTTTCATTTAATCAATATTTCTTTATACTGAAATTGTCCTGAAACTTAAAATTTACATTCCCAATCTTAGTTATAATGGCATTTGTGAGGTAAAAGTTACCCGATTTGAAGTAAAACTCAGTGTCGGGACAAGAGATAGCTCTCCAGTTCCATTGACGATTTCAAATGTTAGAACTCTTTTATAATTTGTTTATGCTGTTAAATTATTATTATTTATAGCATTGCCAGAATGATTAAGAATAACACTATTTCATGTCCTTATATCCAATGGTGCTATCATTCTTTACATTTGAAATATTTCAGTATATTATCAAATATGCTATTTCATTGATGTTATGCCAATTAATCTGTTTTCTCATCAAAGGAAACCAAATGCCACATTTTAATTGGTGTTACGATTTGTAATAAATCATGAACACATACTGCATACAATGTAACAATGTAAATGAAATCTCTAAAGATTTTGCCAGGTAATGCCAGAGTAAACATTCCAAGGCCAAAGATTAACTTCCAGGTCGTGATCAATGTGGTATTTGTAACTAAATCATGAATGTCGTTATAGCATGATTTATCCTTATTCAATGGATAGCTCCGGGAAAAATGACTTGATGAAAGACGTTCATATCGGTAAAATCACACAAATGAATTTCTTCAAATATATTGTACAGAGAAGGACACTTTTTGTTGTCACTTTACTACCAGGCTGTCATCAATGGCGTATCAGACTGATGCCGTTGGATCAATAGGTACTAATCTCAAACAAGAAAAATATATGGATTAGTACACAAAGAATAATTTTCACAGTAGCTGTATATACATGTGAATAATCTTGCAATAAAGTATAACTATAAATCCATCTCATAACACTTATATACTACATTAGTATAATGTTTATTTCGTTTTCTAAAAGCTGCTATTGATAAATTATCAAAATGTTGCGTGTCTATCATATGGCACATAAACAGTCAAACTGTGTCAATTATGGATTGGTAGTTTTAAAGTTATCGGAACTTTTTACAGGGGGTCCTTCTTACCTTACACTTCAGATTCCTTCAGAAATACATAGTGCATTTTTAGCTCACCTGGCCCGAAGGTCCAGCGTCTGTCCGGCGTCTGTCCATCCAGCGTCATTTTTTTTACTTTAAACAACTTCTTCTCAATAACCAAGAAGCCCAGGCTGATGACATTTGGCCAGTAGCATGCTGGGATGAAAGGCTACCAAGTTTGTTAAAATGAATGACCTTGACCCACTTCCAAGGTCACATGGGTCAAATATCTTAAAATCTTAAAACGACTTCTTCTCAATCACCAAAAGGCCGAGGGTACTGATATTGGGCCTGTAGCATGTTGAGATGAAGGGCTACCAAGTTTGCACGATTTAATGACCTTGACCCACTTTCAAGATCACAGGGGTCAAATGTCTTAAATCTTCAAACGACTTCTTCTCAATAACCAAAAGGCCCAGATTACTGATATTGGGCCTGTAGAATGCCAGGATGAAGGGCTACCTGTGTTAAAATATTCAAACAACTTCTTCTCGATAACCAAAAGGCCCAGGGTACTGATATTGGGTCTGTAGCATGCTGGGATGAAGGGCTACCAAATTTGTTCACATTAATGACTTTGACCCACTTTCAAGGTCACAGGGATGAAATGTCGTAAAATCTTCAAACAATTTCTTCTCAATAACCAAAAGGCCAAGGGTACTGAAATTGGGCCTGTAGCATGCTGGGATGAAGGGCTACCAAGTTTGTTCAAATTAATGACCTTTTCCCACTTTCAACCTAATGTCCTTGTTCGACATTTGAGGTCACAGGCGTCATATGTTTAAATCTGTTCTTATGAATCAAACACTGATATTCTGCCTGTAGCTGTTATTTAGTCTACTATTAAGATTACAAGTGTGAGATTAATACCAGGTGAGCGATGCAGGCCCATTGGGCCTCTTGTATTAAATTATCATTCTTCTATTGTTAAAAATGATGTAAGATCATAACATTGTTTGTAATTATCATTCCACATTTATACAATTTATAATAAAATGAATTTAAAAATACTGTGTTGTGTGTTTTGCTTTGTTTTGAACGGTAGTGCATTACCTTTCAAAATTCACAGATTAAAGAAATTTATAAGATTTAACACTGCACGGGTTTTGCACAATTTTTAGAAATCGTGTTTTAAAATTGGCTGGTGAAAAGATCGAAAAAATAGAATATATCACTTGAAATTAATTCATTTGAAGTTAAAACGTCTGTACATTTGATTATTGCACCACACGTAACGTTTACAGTACGTACATACTTGGATTTACACGCACCCTCATAAGCACATACCTACATAAATACATTATATGTACCACATATGATAGTGCCTACTTTATGCAGATGTTTACATACCGACAATATCTAAAACGCGTCACATGTCTTCATTACCTCTTAGTTATAAGTAACGCAAATATTTTGTCAGATTCTCACTTTCTACACGTATTTATGCATGAAATGATATAACTTCTTTTTACTTACAGTGGTCCAACGTTCTTCTGATCAAAAGAAAATTCGTAAAATAAGAAGAAAAATTGGGGCAAAAGGGGAAACGAAATATGTGTTAGCTCTCTACATGTACATGTACTCTCTGACTATTTCCGTTGAAATTTTTCTTAAATTTTCTGCGATGAATAAAAAAAATCCTATTATCTTTTTCGGAGACAAACAAAATTGGGTATAAAACATCAACATTTTGTAAAATAAATATTTTGGCAGTATTTTCAAAACACATCTGGGTTATATCTAAATAAATAAAATAGAACAGGAAAAGAAATTACTCTGAACAGTAACATTAAGCAGATACTTAAGTTCATAAGTCTCTGATAATAGGTAAGATAATGATAACCTTCATCTGCTTCAGTGAAGACGCTTCGTTTGATTAAATTCCTTTTGTGATAGATGTCGACTGCTGACGGACACATTTACAACACGGTTTCCGTGATAAATGTCGACTGCTGACGGACACACTTACAACACAGGGTTTCCGTGATAGATATGGACTGCTGACGGACACACTTACAACACAGGGTTTCCGTGATAGATATGGACTGCTGACGGACACACTTACAACACAGGGTTTCCGTGATAGCTGTCGACTGCTGACGGACACACTTACAACACAGGGTTTCAGTGATAGATGTCGACTGCTGACGGATACATTTACAACACAGGGGTTCCGTGATAGATGTCGACTGCTGACAGACACATTTACAACACAGGGTTTCCGCGATAGATGTCGACTGCTGACGGACACACTTACAACACAGGGTTTCAAAATAAACCATGTTGATGAAGACTGCAGACAAGTTACAGTGTCGCCATCGTTACATTGTCGCCATCGTTATCTCGCAGGAACATATGCTATTTGTTTGTGTGATTTGAAGGTGGTGTTTTTTATTACGCTCATGAGTGTATCTCTTGTGGTTGTCACTACCCGAGTTCCCGATATGAGGTCGTGACCTAACATTGATTATTGACCGACATTTACCTGGTGGGTGTCGTCGATGAAGCAGAAGACGCTCACCCTTCCGGAAGATCTGGGCCCGTATTCATGAAGCTGTTCTCATGCTCAAGCATGGATTCTGTGCTCAAACCAACTTCCTTTTAACTTGTTTTAATTATGTCAAACAGTCTAAAAGTCAAATGTAAACACTGAAAACAGTTGTCGGCTTTAAGTCTCTCCAATGGTCTTCATTGACAAAATAAGATTTAAAACAAATCATAATGGGGACAAGAAATTTGGCTTGAACACAAAATCCATACTTGAGCATGAGAACGGTTTCATGAATACGGGCTCTGGTCTTGCATTTTTCCAATGTTCTCCATGTAAGCCTTTCCCTTTGTTTATATTTTGCCCTAGTTTGCAGTTAGGGTCATTTAAGGACGTGCTTCATTTCGTGTTATGTATGCATGCATGAGTGTATAAGGCTGTATGCAGGTCATGTTGGTGTTATTGCCTCCTTGTGGAAGCGCGTATCTGATGCCTAGGTTATAGTGCTGTTTCACTGAAGTACAATTCAGAAGGCACCCATCTTAGTTTTCCGCCCGGTCACATTATACAATTCAGAAGGCACCCATCATAGTTTTCCGCCCGGTCACATTATACGATTCAGAAGGCACCCATCATAGTTTTCCGCCCGGTCACATTATACTGACAAGTAACAACTACCATTTTTGTTAACATTTCGTTGTTCTCTTGTTTTGTTTTTTAATTAACCTGATACACTTGGTTGTCAAGTTCAACCTTTTCTATAGTTAAGCCCCAAGTGGAGTCGGAACATGTGGAATGGCGGGATGAACACGGGAAATGGGAAAAAAGCTCAAGTGAATAAATGGAGGAGAGGCGGTGAACAAAATTTTCTTTTTCAGGTTGTCAGACGTCCTTAACCTATCTCAAACTTGATAAGGACACGGTAGTCTGCCAACTTTGCATTTAATCCGCAATCCTTTAATTTTGCACGCACACTGAAAAAACACTTTTGTAAACAGTAGGGTTAAAAAAAAGAAACAATGGTGATAACCTGTGTACAGTTCAATCCTGCATATACACGTACCTATGGCGAAATACCTCATCCAATGCCGATAGGTCACATAGGTAAATAGGGAAGTCCTTCCATGGAGATAATAGATCAAACTCGAGGCTCTGCCAAGGCTTCTTATTTAAATTCTCCGAGAAAGAAAATTTCTATCAACCTATCATTGTCCAGCCCGAAGTCATTATAATGACATTACATCTCCAGCACACACGCAGTCATACACACATAGGGAGATATTAGCAATGTGGCATAGGATTAGTAGTTAGCGCCTGATAAGGCAGCTCCTGCGAATTCCTCAAAATTGTATTGATTAATGTAAATGTTAATTGTAATTATTGTATATCTATGTATACATGTATCTATGTACTGTAAAGCGCTTTAGAGTGGCGTATTATTGTAGATAGGTCGCTATATCAAATGTTGTATATTATTATTGTTATCATATGGCGCCGATGAAAACACTACTTTCCCCCCCTACTTTTAAGTTACAATAAGACTTTTGTCTTCAAAACATTAAGAAATAAAAATAAAATCTAATGGTGTTCTCTTTGAGGACCACTCGAGAAACGTATCGTCATCATATACTTTGCCTACCTGTAAAACACAATTGGATATGTATGAGTTGCCGTTGGACATACTTACCTGTTAGAATTAGGTATTCGATGTCAATAGACCCATTTGTTTATAAGAAGTCTGTATTGCATTACCAAGATAACCCCAAAGGGAGGTAGTATGTTATAGATGTTATCGTTATTTTCTTATATTTCCATTTTAAAGTGAAAATTTAGCTCGAAGGATTTCCGTATCTGATTGAAACATGCACATTATTTGTCTAAAAAAATAATGATTTTTTAAATATTCCTTTTTCACATATCTTTTGTCTGTGTTCTTTTGATACACGAATCCCTTAATTATTGGTATACCTATTAAATGTGCACTAGCTGAGCCTAAATTATTAAAATTAAGTTGATACATTTTACATTACATGCATGAGCCAGAAGACAAATATTTAATAGAAATATTTAAAAGCAGCCAAAACATACCATGTAGCACATGACATTGTTATGCGCACGGCGATGGAGGGAGGGTATATTGCGGCTATACCACCTTTTAGGACATCTATAGTATCTTTAATGTCAAATAAAGGATAAAATGAAAGAAATAATGTATATCACTATAGATTAAAGATATATATTAAGCTTGTTTATCAAATTGAATCACGCGTGTATTCAACTGCTAACATAGAACATAATGTCATGTTCTATTTATCATCTTACAAGTTCCCATAGAGGTATCCTAATACAAAAAGACAATGTTACGTGCTTTGCGTTTCCCACTAATGTGTGTAATGAGGTAACATATTTTTACAGCAAAACTAATGAAACAGATGCATGAGTGTATGTATAGTAGGACGTTTAGCAGAGTATTTACAGGTATTAAAAGGTAGGTGTTTATGGGATATGGTAGTGGATGTATGTGAAGTGGGGTTTTTCAGCAGAAGAAATACGGTAGTACTTAATTTGATGCGTGTAATTATTCCGCCGTTGGCTTAGGTTTGGAACTCCCTATCTTATAAATACTGCATATACACTTTACTGTATAAAACTCTGTTAACAGTGTTCTTCAATGTAAGTTGTGTTTTACAGATACAATATAAACAAATAACACTCGTGTCTGGATGCAGTCGCGTATACTGACGTCTTTTCGTAGACGTTTATCGTTTTTAACGAACAATATGAAAAGATGGCGTTTCCTGAAAATGGTACTGGTATTTTTATCAGTTCTTTGGTTCATTCAAGAGCAGATAAGGACAAAAGTATCACCAAAAGAGGTATGGCTTCAAAATAAAAAGGCAGATATTTGTTAAAAGATAATTATTCATATTCCGTTTTGATATGTATTAACAAAATGAATCAACTGAAAAACGAAATTTCCTGTCTCAATTTGGTATCGTTTTGATTTCATAGTTACGGGTATCAGCCACTTAGATTGTTTAATCAAATATGACTTATTAACTGTAGGTCTGCGACATTCAATACGGTAGTTACATTGAAAATACAAAAACGAAACTTTATTTATGCAGGTAATCTGATTTTGAGGATTATATGCTCAATTGTGATTGGAGGTCAAGTAGGGTACAACTTAAAATACGGAAACAGATGGTGTGCACATTTTGAAAATAATGAAGCAAGTAAAATGTCATTCTATCTCATAATTTTGTGCATATGAGCAGTCTTGTATTTCACGGAAATCAATTTCTTTGAAATATCCATGCGTTTGTATATCACCGGGAAAACTGTGAGGTAATACTTTAAATGTATAGAATGATGACTTGTGTTTCCATTGGACATATCACTACTTATCACGAAGCTTACAAGCCTGAGCTCACGAGTTAAGTCAGATTAACTTAATGTTTGTATCTGAACCTGTTTTGTATAATCTGCAGGTAAACTTGCACGTATACGTGTCTGTTTTACCCTCAGTCAGACTTGAACCTTTTACTAACTCGACATGGAGTCTCTCCATGCTTTTGAAACGGATTTCTAATGTAATCAATTTGAAGAGTATGATATTATCTTACTTAAGTTGTTTCCTATCAAAAGTGGTTGGGGCGTCAAACGAGTTATGAATATACTTATTTTAAATAAGGAGCATCAAAATAATTGAGAAGATAAATGTCATAAGATATGAACAACATGCTTGAACTAATGTAAATCGGTTGCATGTAGTTTTCGTAAAGTTAACATTTTGTCAGACAATCTGCACCTTTCACAATAAGGTAGTTGTTCATTCGATACATTGTTTACCTCTGTATTTACTTATTACATCGAGGCTCTGGTAAATTCCGGAACACTTTTCATGACAATGTCTCATCCTACTCCACACAACTAAATGATATTATTGTGATGTGATCCTGGTACAGCTTACCGTGATGATAATATCCAGCGTATCAAATAGCATTGGCACTACCCCATGTTTCGTTCCGTATGTATTTCATTTGGTCAATTTAATTAACAACCTCTAATTGCTAATGTTGCTGTTCTTACGACGATACAAGATCAAAAATGGTTATAGCAATACTCAAAAGTTAATGTACATGAAATTACAACAGAGTGTTTAAAGTAATAAAACAAATAAATACAAGATACATTGACATACGTTTAAAGTAGTGATCAGGACAAATAACTGAGTTGCCAATCCAGTACGGATGAATAAAGTGCCAGCAGGACGTCCCTAAGTGAAACAGCTTCCGAAACTTTCCGGAAAGTCTTCACGTAGCTGATATGCTAATGGGATACCGTTATACACCGAGCTGCCAAAGTGATTGGTTTTTGTTTATTGTTCACAGAGTTTACTACAGGGACGTTGGCTGCATTCTCATTCCTACAATAGTAACAAATCTCTTTTAGTTTCACAAACAAACTCTTGTCTATACTCAAGAGAAATCTTATGTGATTGTGTTACTGAAAGTAAAGGCCTTACTTCTATCCTAGAACGTTGTGGAAGGCTTGTCAGACTACATGTATTGCGTCTTCAATATCTTCGCTCGTCGATTTCAGACTGCTCTGCCAACAAGGTCGTGTCTCTAGCTGCCGCCTTTACATGTCAGCTTCCTTGCCTTTCGTTCAATAACAAAGGCTTCACACATCCTCCAAAAGTGTTACAGCCGATGTCTACTAGGAAATACCATAAATGTGGCCTTGTCATGCAACATTCCGAAGACACATGCCTTTTAGTGCTGTTGACTACTTTGTCACAACCATCGCTTTATAACTTTATCTTTTATCCACTGTCATCTCATATTCATTCTTGAATAAGAATACGTTTTTGTGAAGATTCTTTACCTAGCCAGAGGTTGCAGCCCTATCCTCTCATCCTTAAGTCAGGCTGTCTTGTTCATCCATTTTCACTTCTTTTATATTCGTTTTTTCCAGAGTGCTGAGATACATCCTAGCCGTGGTCAGGTAACCAGAGTTGATTTCATTTCTTTAATAACACACGAGTAACTGGAAGAGCTTGTTTGTAAAAAAATGTAAAATGTTCTCAGAACATATGGAAAACTATAAAAAAAAAAACCACAGCCAAATCTCCTTTAAAATAACAATAATGATACAAGACAAAGGTTATGGTAACACACCATGTCAATTTAGCAAATGTCATTTAACCAGTGCGATTTTAAATTGTGCTTCAACCTTAGATCATGCTTAAAATACGGTTGAATTGTCCTTAGAAACAAAAACAAAATAAAGCCAATAACATCTTAAAATTGCGATGATCGTAATTGTTTCAATTAAAATACACACAAAAAGCATCAACTAAGGCTTATTGACAGTTGATTTAATATAATAATCATGAAGGAATTCACAAAAGTTTTCAGACACATATTAATTTGCTACATCTCCGCTAACTGTACGGAAATTTCAACAACAATCAAATTTTCTTCCAAACAAAAATCTGCAAGTATCAATATCACTTCATTCTAACTTGTTTCTATTTTACAAGGCAGGCCAGCTGAATCCTATTCATGTTAAGTATATTTTTAGACTTATTTTGATTGTTGTTTTTCATCTTCAGATAGACGTATTGAATCCTAGTCATGTAAAGATATTGTTTCGTTTACACGTTGGTAGCAGGCATATTTTGTTATAAAATCATATTCCTACTAGCTATTAACTAAGGCTATTTGAAAATTGTTGTATCATAATACGAATGATGAAATTCATGAAATTTTATGTACAGGTATATTTTAATGTGATACATTACAGCCACCTAGAGCTGGTTTAAAGAGTACTTGTAAGTGGTTTACTTTTCGTCACTCTCACAATATGATGAGATCATCCTTAGAAACGAACTAGAAAAGCTTGGAAAAGGAATTTGATATTGTGAAAATAGTGTTTGTTATTACTTGGACAGGAATTGAAACTATCTTATCATTCCTAACACAATCTACAAAGCAAACTTTACTGTTAATATATTCTAACTTATTTTTATGTTGCCCAGACAGACGAGCCAAAACATTTTAAGGTTCTGTCTTTATTACACTATAGCAAGAGGAATATATGTTATATCACCATGTTCTGTTTCAATTTTATTTGATTATGAAACGTAATTAAAAAGGACGAAATTTTGATAGATTCTTTATTTCAATAAATTAATAATGACAAATAAAGAAAGTTAAGAGATTTTACAAGCAAACATTATTTTGGTTCAACTTGTTCAGGTTTTATTAAATTAAATTAAATTTTGTTTTGTCTTTCATCCTCCTCACAAAAGTACTAAAACCAAACAAGAAATGTATTTGATAAGAACCTTTTAATTGCGAATATAGTTCTTGTATTACCTTGTCAGGAATTGAATCCCTACATTCCAATTTTTCTACACGCCAAGCTATTAAGTATCAATAAGGTTCATTGCAAAGACGAGGTGAATCCTGGTTAGGTTTGTACTTTGATCATTTAACAACATGATTGGATCACATTGTTTCTTAGTGTAAGAATAAATCATCTGTTTTAGCCAAAAGTGGTACATTTGTCACGGTATAAATAGGTTTATAGGCACCTTCCTATTCACATTTGTTTCGGAACAGGTTAGATTCTTTTTAACATGAATAACACTGATGAGTCCTTAAGCTGAAATGACCATATGGTGCAGTAAACTATTTACTATGTGTGATTTCCTGTATCGACTTTAATTGTGCTTCCTTACTTCGAGTTTCCTGTAATTACTTTAGAAACGAGCAAGGCAATGTGGAACCAGAAATTATCAATGTGAAGATAGTCTTAGATATGACCTTGTGGGAATATTACCCTACATTGTCTTATCCTTCCACAACCAAGAAATACATATCATTATTTCACTCTAATTTGTTTAATATTTTCCAGATAGACGAGCTCAAGTTTCAGCATTTGAAGGTGATCTTTTAATAAGACTTAAGAAACAGAACTAACCGGTAGCTTATAAAATAACGTTAAAATAATATTTTCAAGACAGACGAGCTGCAGTTTAGTCAGTTTAAGGGGCGTTTTTAATAAGACTATAGAAACAAAAATAAGTTGCTATAAAGCTATTTTTCTCAATTATATTGTATTAGCGCATACGGGAAGCGATTCAATCCAGCCACTGATGTTTTGTAGTGCTTTAATTACATTTATAATGCATTATAAAGAAAGTTGTGAGATTTTACAACTGTACATTAATATGGTTCAACTCGGCCGCCGAGTACCGCTTTAATTATTGCTTTAGTCTTTGGAGATCCTTACAAAATGATTGATCCACCCAACGAAAAGAAGACGAAAAGTGTGGAATAAGGACTTAATAATTGTGAATTAAGATAAAGGCATTGTATGACCCTGTCAGGAACTGAACACTCGCACTCACATTTTACTACACAACAAACTCTAAGTCAACAAAAGTGTTCAACAATCTAACCATTTTCTATTTGTTTTTACAGACAGACGATCCGAATACTAGTCGTGTTAAGGTATTGTTTCATAGAACTAGAGCGACAGCAATACCATGTTAATAAACTGCTCTCCATTTTTTAACAATTTTAAAAGCTATTGGACAAATGTAGCTTTTGTAAAGATAGTCACGAAGATGGTAAGCATCAGTCAACAAGGCCGTTTTACTTCAGTGATTGATAACCTATACAATATTATGAGACCACCAATGGAAACGAAAATGCAAAGCGTCAATAATACTTGAGCAGGTCGTAATTCGTTTGTTAAATCGTCACCCTTTTTCTATAAAATTTGTAGAAGTAGTAGAACAAAAAAAAATCGAACAAACTTCATTTATTCATCTTAGCATTTTTTTCTTTTCGTTCTTGTAGGAAGTGATAAAAGCTCTGTTGGATGTCTGGGACAATGAAAATGCCAAACTATTCCTCATGGATCCCGACATACTGATTGACTATGTGGAGGACAAGCAGGGAGGCCACACCTGTGGCCGTTTGTGTCAGAGTCAGAAAAAACTGGTCACCTTCGGTGTCATAGGAAACGTTCATAAAAAATTGGTAACTGCTGTGAAACTTGATATCACCTGTATAGTTCGAAAACTTTGTATTAACACAAATTTATCCGAGTTTATATACATTTAGAATGAAAATCATGGGAAATTAGAAAATGATTTGTTAAAGGCATATGGCTATTCCTTGACAAAGGACATAAGTATGTTTCCTTTATATTTCATCTTTGATACTAACTAGTCAAAGTCAGTGGACCATAGAATAACACTTATTTCCATCGATTTGTACTTCATTTAGAACTTGTCTTTTTTAACCACCAACCCATCTATCCATCTCATCTGTTTGCCGGGGAACATTTTCAGAAGGTCGGGACATTTCTTTTTAACTTATCAGATAAAGGTGATTATAAAAAAAATCAAAGATGCATGTATCTCCTCTAGACAGAATTTCTTGTGAAAAATATTATGTTCTTAAGTGTATGCCACATTAAGGAGCTAAATGAATTTTAAATTGTTTACAAGGGTTTGTCGAAGTACAAACTAATGTATTTTATAAAAAAAAAAAGAGACAAGCATTAGACACGTGTTGTGACTAGACAGCGTGTCACGTCAGAGGGAAAGTATTAATCCGCATGTTGCTTTACCATTGCTTCCACAGAGTCCAGTTTTCCATAAACTGCGGATTTACAACTTCAATGTGGTGGATTTCAGTGAAAAGATTTCCGACGGGAGAGGTGAAAAAACATACAACATCACATCACAGGTTTTAATCCAGGCGATGAAGCAACCGGAGCCGGCCATACACATACTTATTCTTTACGAGTGTACCGCTGGATTCCTCTGGCACGCCAAGAAACGTATCGCCTCAAGTGACCCCACATTTGTGTATGAGGCCGGCTTGTACACAAAGTAATTTGTTTTTATGAATTCTTCAAAGTTTGTTATAGTCAAAGGATAAATACTTGTTGATTTATTGATAGTGAAATAATTAACATGATTTAATAAGAGCATTTTTTATTATTGACGTACGCTACTCGCATTTATATTGTAAATTGATTGTGTATTGTACATTGCAGCAGTTATATCAAACGTGTTTAGGCAGTATGCTGGATTTTCCCATCCGGTTTAAAAAACCGATCTATAATTTCAAACTAATCTTCTTATTTTTTGAAGTTTGTCTCGATAAAATGGTTACTGCCGTCTGAAATTATCAATGAGCGCAGATTATAAAATAATCTGTAACTTTTCTTTTCAATATTACCATGCACTTTCGGACAATAATACATATACGTACCTTTTTCGAGTAAAGGGACCCGTGTGCATGTGTAATCGTGTCGACATATACTTATATCAAACTGGTAGAACAGAGAAAATTGCTGCAGCAACCAGGAATTAATGATTGTAAGCAATACGCGACTTGTTGGTAATAGAACGAAGCATCACGTAATAAAACGTAGATGCGCAAAAGAACAGCCGACTCAAATAATAAATAATAAATAGCAGGTTTTATCAAATGTTATATAATAGACACGAAATTGCAGACAGTTCAAATTTTCGTACGGTACAATGGATGAAATCAACATCTCTTTGCATATTATGTAGGAATATATAACTCGAAAATTATAAGAAAATAAGAAAATTAGGCGGAACCCATCATTTTTACAATGTCGTAATATATTTAATCTGAATACACCTACTTGCACGTGTTTTTAAATCAATAAAAATGATATTGTATTCCCAACAGATTTGACCTAGAGCTAGCTGTGATAGATGGTATATCTCTATATATTCCGAAACCAGCGAACAAGTTTCCGGGTTTAGTGGCACAATCCAAATACATTGAATGTAACCAAACAAGGAAAAACGACTTCCTCAAAGCTTATCCAACGAATCTGTCACACAAAGCTAAACACTTCAAGAAACATGCAAAAGAAATGATAGCTGAGGCGAAAAAAGTGTTTGATAAACTCGGGATGCGTTTTTGGATAAGCAGTGGTACACTTCTCGGTAAGATTGCTCAAATCATACTTCTTTTTCAGAAGAACAATAACGCTGTTTCGTTTACTTTAATAAACTTTATAATACCTGGTACTAAGGAAGCATAGCATTGTTTTCACAATCAATGTGGAATTTTTGGGCCTGTATCCCTTGGATTTTATGTAGGATTGTTTGTCAACAAATATACCTGATTTATTTAATTGTTAATATCCAAAACATAAACAGAAAATGATTGAATGAAAGTGGATAAATGTTCATTTCACAAGCTAAATTGGAGTTATTTCCCCTGCACTGTTTAATTGGATTGTTATGATAGAATATATGTAATGTTTGTAAATAAGTTTGGAAAGGACTTAAATAGGCCTAGCCTGATGTCCAATCCAATTGACATATATCAAGTCAATAAAATCTGTTGAAATTGAACCAATGTTGAATTCCACATAACAAATATATAGTATTAACCTACTCTTACTGAGACAAAGTTTGTATTAGCATTTTCCAAATAATTTAGTTACTTCCCTGTAACGAAATAAACGACAAAGGATGTTTCTTGACATCTGTGAAGTGATGAACAGTGTGAATGTATGTGTATTGCTAGGGTGGTATAGACAGTGTGACATCATCCAATATACCACAGATGTGGATTTCGGGATGTGGATCAAAGACTACAATTCTCAACTCATTCCTGAGATGAAGAAGTCCGGACTTTATCTCAAACACCTTTACGGCAGAGTAAGTTATCCTAGAAATCAGATACAGCAGCTTCTCATTTCTTAAAAACTATTTCATAAAACACTTTGGCACATCAGAAAAATCCTAAAAGTTAGATGGATTATGGAAATCACATTTGTTTTATAGATATTTTCATTTTTGCTGTAGATTATCATCTAAAATATTAAAATCAAAAAGGATTTTCCCCGTGCACCAAGGATATCAAGGAAATTTTCCAAAAAACCAGTTCGCAGCTAATTATGGCACGAGGGGCTGGGGGAGTTATGTATGTCAGGATCTGTATGTCTATCGTAATTTATATACGATGAGGCTGGGGGTTATGTATTTCATGATCAGACTATCGTAATTGTCTGTCGTTATAAACATACGATCGGGCTGAGGGAGTTATGCATTTCATTATCAGACTTACATTTAAGCATTGAACTGGGTTTTTTATGGTATTTATGATCTATTTGAATGACACAGCTTTGCAAGCAAACAAATCATAATGCGAGCGCATTATGATTTGTTTGCTTGCAAAGCTGTGTCATTCAAATAGATCATAAATACCATAAAAAAACCAGTTCAATACATATATTAACGTTTTCTCCGTCTCTTATGTTCTTTTTTTAACTTATAATTTATATTTAAAATTCAAAATGCCCGCCTTATCAACAGTCCACAAAATTTTGTTCAATAGTTTGAACAGCTTGTTTGTCGCGTGCTGATTGGCAAACAAAGTAGTACATGTACTTTGAAATTTTAACAAACACTTCACTGTTATTCCACAATTCAGTATAACTACAATTGCGTATGATATGTCTATAGGGTGATTTAAGTTTATCAATAGACCTCTGAGCTGAAAGTAAGATTTGAAATTGTTTCGATTTTTCTCCGGAACAAATTTCGCGCATGGATAAATACAGTGAACACCGTAAATCCGACCTTGCCCTCCACGAGGGAGTTATTTTTGGAAGTTAATTCGAACTTTTCTCTTTGCTTATTTTGTGAAGAATCCAGACGTGAATTTATTTGTTGATTGTATGGGAATCTGACTACAGTCTGTAGATTCTATAACAGCCTCGTTATTTGACATGTCGTCAGAAACTGACGAAACAGTGGCTGCGAGACGCGTTTGAAGTGAGTGATCTTGCAACGGAGCACAGGGGTTCATTACAAACGTCTGAAATGTTAGGTCTGTAACATATGTGTCAGTAGGTCTGTAACATATGCGTATTTCAGACATTTGTAACGAACCCCTGTTGATCAGTGCAGTGTAACAGACGATGTTTTTGATAAATTGAATGAGCGTTAAATTGTTTCCATTGCCAGCATTGGCGACTTCCACCGATGTGCATTTTGTACGATATTGCAGACCTTGGTTTTGTTTTTGTTGTAATAAAAGTATTTTTTATTTTATTTTTTATTTTGCACATAAATTTACAATGACATTATCAAATCTCACGATGCCTAACGATATTTCAGCAGCCGTCATGTTAATTTACATTGGATATTGTAGTTCCGGTCAGTGTTGTATTAATACGCTAAGAAGTATGTCTCGTGCTGCATGGTAATTAAAGTCCCATCAACGACATAGCTTCCAAAGAGGCTATATAGTGACAATGCCATGCAAATGTAAATATACATTAACTGAAAATCAATCAACTGGTTTTGATAGAGCTTCGTCCCTGCTAAAGTATAAGCATGTTTTATCAGCCGAGTCTGTGATGTTAAACACATTGTCCATTTATAGCATTGTCTACCTGCGTATGATAATTTATTGCTAGGATTTCCTTTAAGGGTGTTGACATCTTTTATCTAATTATCTATGTCAAATGGAGTTAGGCATGGAAACATAGATTTACAATTTGTTCAATAGGAGGGCGTTTAGTACAGATAATCAAGAAAATAGATTGATTAAAGTGAAACAATGATTATTTTGCTAGCATAATTATGGCACTTATTACACGTAACCATCCTTACAAATTTACCCGATTAATGCTAACCTTATTGTTATTCCATAGGTCAATGACTCGTTTGAATTAACATTTCAAGATTTGCACGTCAAGTTGGACATTTTCTTTTTCTACGAGGAGTCAGATCACATGTGGAATGGCGGGATAAACAAGAAAAATGGAGCAAAGTATAAGTGAGTGTCCGTTAGGTCCTCGTACCGGAGCTCAAATACGAAAATCTGTTGTAACAAGAGGTCGGATCATTTAAAATATATGTCAGTTTGCTTACAACAAAACTTCTCAAGCACAGTCAACTGCCAATAAGTGATACCCAGGAATTTATAATCACTCTGTATCCATTTTGGTTGCATGTTGACATGTATGTTGCATGTGTGTTTTTCTTGACTTGTTGACAATCTTGTGTTTCTGCGTGGGGCTTTGGTAGACGAGTAGTAAAGGCGTCTGACCGTCTACGATTTCTGGCCCTCCACCGGTTTCCATCCACCACCAAAACATGGCTCGTCCTTAAATGACTTTAGTTATTACATGTAACAGGACGTAAAGCACAAACAAACTGCTGACTGCTGACAGTTTTGTTTTTCTGTTGGTTATTTTCAGTTTTCTGTTTATAATGACTGCTGACATTTTAGTGCTTCTGTTTACTGTTCACGATTATACGTTTCTGTTTATTGTAAACAACTTTGACAACTGTATATGTTTCTGGTAATTGTTGGCAGATATTTATTTTGTTTTCTGATTTTTGTTTACATTTATGAGCTTCTGTTGAGTGTTGACATCGTTGTTTCTGTTGCTTGTTGACATGTATTTGTTTTCATTGACAGGTATGTATTTCCGAAATTTGGTCTGTGCTGGACCACTCTGCTAGATCTTTTCGTTCGTGTTCCGTGTCCAACATTGCCATACATAGAAGCCAATTATGGCAAGAAATGGTTCACTCCCGTCAAGAAATGGAGCTGGAAGCATAGCCCTTCCAACGTGAGGAAAAATGGTTACTGGCCCAAGGACCAGTGGGACAATGTTATACAGGTTTACTCTTAGAAATAAGATTGTGTAATGTGTGAATTTGATGCTGTCTGTATGTGTGTCCTTATAGTCTAACACGTGTTTGTATGTATGTATGGTTAGTCTCCCGTAATACTGTGCATATATTAAATTTTGACATTCATTACTCAAAATCACGAAACCGAGCCCCTGTGAACGTCGTCTGCTAGCGATGCTAATCTGACCGATTAGACATGGATTTTGTTTCAAACGAAGTGTCCTTTGAATCGTTATCACTTACTGAAAGGACCACTTTAATTAAAAAATTCTGAATATTTGAAAATTCAAACGTATGTTTGCTTCCGTTAATATAGAAAACAAACTATATTAATGTAAATATAAGCATTGAACTGTTACCAGATACAGTATACAGTCGATATGAATGCAATTTGAGTGACAGATAAATATTCATGTCGCCGGTGTTAAATATTACATTTTACCAGTGAGATGAATCAACTTGAGGTTTTTGAAGTAAAACCAATTTTCATGATGTAATACTTACCATAACTTTAGTATGCATATACAATACCTACACCCATCTTTGTAGCCCAAAAACAAAAGATTCAAATATCCCTACCTCCCTACCGTGACGTAACCTCTATCTCGATGACAGAGCCACGGAGTGATCTCCCTTCCTCAAACCCCCTTTTATGGAGCCTAAAGGCAGCCAGGATGAGGAGGCAAGGGGAGGAATACAGGGTGGGACTCCATAAAGTTATGGTAAGTATTACATCATGAAAATTGGTTTTACTTCAAAAACCTCAATTTCATTTCAGTAATAATTACCATAACTTTAGTATGCGAATTCGTCTTACCGTAGTGGAGGCTTCGAATCCAGGCAGACCAGGCTGACGGAACAAACTCGAGACATGCTCAAGGTAGGGAAAAGGTTCAAGGAACCCCCCTAATAAAGCCCCGAAAGTAATTAAAAAATGGAAAACCTCCCCGTGAAACGAGCAGGTGTACCACCGTGGTGCCTGATAGCATACTATTTAAAATCACTGAATTACTGTGGAGGAACAGCCACAGACTGTGCAACCACCACCGGTCCAAGGGAATACAATCCATCAGAATGAGAGGCCAAGGACCGGAGATAAAAATCCGTGAAGGTAGTCTGTCCGCGCCAGAAAGCTGCGGACATGACCTCCTGAAAGGGGGACCCATTGAGGAGGGCCCATGACGCAGCAAGGGCCCTGATCTCATG